GGCACTGTGTACAGCTAGGTCTTGTTCCTGTAACCTCTCACTTGCTAGGGCCTTGACTTTGCACTGTCCTTTATTTATATATTTTACCCTGACTGGCCTTGTGGCCTCTCCCAGTGGCTGGACTAGTAGTGCCGCCCTAGTCTTGCTCTTGAATTGTTTATACCCTTGTCTTAGAGGCTAAACTAGTAGTGCCGCCCTGAGCTGCTTCTTCCCTTGTTAGGCACTGCCCCTATATTGTCTAGGGGATGTGTCAAACATAACTTATACAGTTACTGTAGACAATATATGTTTGTGCCTTAGTGGGTACAACTTACTAGTCTATATTGCCTTATATCTCCCCATTCTAGTCAATTATTCATTCTGATAATAGGGTCATGCCATACAGAGTACAACCCATTAGCTATAGACACCTGTATGCTCCCATTCTAGTCAATCATTCGTGTTAAAGTGAGAACTGAATAATTGAGAAGAGAGAGAGTACAGGTGAATATACCTAAGTATTGTACTCTCTAAGAGGTGGCCCTATACAGTCTATGCAAACATAGGAGATACACATGTTTGACACACCCCCTAGACTGCATAGGGGCAGGTCCTGAACAAGCAGCTCAGGGCGGCACTACTAGTCCAGCCACTAAGACAAGGGTCTAAAAGACCAGTCAGAAGGAGTACAAACAAGGCAAGCAAGGGCGGCACTACTAGTCCAGCCACTGGGAGAGGACACAAGTCCAGTCTGAGTACACATATAAAGGGCAGTACAAAGTCAAGGCCCTAGCAAGTGAGAGGCTACAGGAACTAGACCAAGCTGTACACAGTGCCGCTGATGATCTTAAGGCGCAAGCGCCTTCGTAAAGATATCAGCTGTGTTGGCACCTGAGGCCAAGTGTACTACACGAGCCTGGCGTCACTGCTGTAGCTCGCGCAGGAGGAAGTACCGCAACTGGATATGCTTCGCTCTGGCCTCGAGTCGAGGCTCCTGACACAGGAGGATCATGGCCCTGTTGTCAGCGTACAGGACCGGGGCAGAGCTAGGCTGCTCACCTAAGTCAGTGAGCAAGAAGGTCAGCCAGCGGAGCTCCTGTGCCGCCATGGCACCGGCATAGATCTCGGCCTCACAGCTGGACCGGGCAAGAGACGAGGAGCGGGTAGCTCTCCACGAGATGGCACCTGAACCAAGGCTGAAGCAGTAGCCCTGGGAAGACCTGAGTGTCTCGGCGTCGTCTGCCCAAGAAGCGTCTGTGTGTCCAGTAAGGACCACTGGCCCACGTCCTCCTAGCAATAACCCCATGCCTGATGTACTAGCAAGATAACGCAAAACCCTCTTAGTGGCAGACCAGTGCTGTGGTCGGTGTCTGCGTGTGGCCACAAAGCGAGCCAGGATGCTGAGAGGGTATGCAAGATCTGGGCGAGTGCAAGTCATCAGGTACATGAGGCAACCCACCAGCTCTGCGTAGGGGCCACTGGGCTCTACCGACTCCTCGGAAACTGGAGCAAAGAGTCTGTGGTCTACAGGCAGAGGGGTGGGCTGTGCAGAGGAGAACTGAAGGCCGAACCTCTGAAGGACCTGGCGCACCAAGTGTGACCGAGTCAGGGTGATGGTGCGCGCTGCTCTATCCCTGGAGATCTGCAAGCCAAGGTAATGGCGCACTTCTCCAAGGTCAGTGCACGTGTGTCTCTTCAGCAGCTCTGCCTTCACTGAGGCCAGTGCGTCCCTGTCTGCTGCGGCAAAGACCAGGTCGTCGATGTAAAAAAGGATGTAGAACGGAGTCTGGCCAGCACGAACGAAGAGTGAGGGGTCTGCGGAAGACGGAAAGAACTGCAGGTCAGCAAGGGTAGCACGCAGCGTGTCGTGCCACTCATGGGGAGCTTGGCGCAGGCCGTGGACGGAGCGCCGCAGGAGCCATTGGGTCCCAGGAAGGAAGGTGCCAGTAAAGCCTTGAGGGCGACGCAAGTAGACCTGCTCGTGTAGGCTGCCTTGAAGGAAGGCAGTGGAGAAGTCGAGGGAGTGAAGCTCGTAGTCACGCTGAGCAGCTAGGTGTAACAGAACCCGAAGAGTAGTCATCTTCGGGGTCGGAGCGAAGGTCTGGAAGAAGTCCACTCCCTCACGCTGACTGGAGCCTCTAGCCACGTAGCGCGCCTTGAACACAGGCGGCTCTCCAGGAGGGCACTTCACCTTGAAGAGCCAGCGGCCATCGACTACGTTCACCCCAGGTGGGGGAACTGCGTCGACGAAGGTGCCGGTGGATCTCCAAGATGCCATGGCAGCTATCCACTGCAAGGCCCAAGGTCCCGAGGTCGCCTCAGCGTAAGTGCGAGGGGTGGGGATGTCGAAAGCGTCTGGGTCACCCTCAGGGACTAGGAGCATGGAACAGAGATGGGGAGCAGCCTCGGACAGGAAAGCAAGCTTGAACTGGCGGTCCTCCATGACGTCACTGCCGAGGGCAGGAGCACCCCCGACAGACGGAGGACAGGCAGGGTCAGAGACCAGAGCGGTGGCGTAGTCAAGGCGGTGGGTAGAGGCGAAGTCAGCGACCGCAGCTACAAGAGCGTCAAGACTTGAGACCGGAACAGACGGGTCGGTAACGAGAGAGGCAAGGACCCGAGGAACAAGAGGACGAGCGGCACAAAGGTAGTCAGACAGAGGGGGGGGTGCAACAACAAGGGAGGACGGAGGAGGCGACGGGAGAAGGGGAGGATGAGACACGTGGGAACGAAGCAACATAGGGTGGGAGCGCAAGACTGGGGAGACAGGACGAGCACGGGAGGGACGGCGAGACCAGACGTGAGACGGAGGAGTCGGGTCAGGAGACAGAGGAGGGGACACAGGGGGGAAACGAGGGGGAAGATGAGCCAGGGACGAGTCCGACGGAGGGAACACAGGGCCGTAGATGGGAAGTGGAGGAGAAGACGGCTGGAGAGGAACAGACGCAGGGTCAGGGGACGGAAGGCCGAGTAGGCGAAGGGCTAACACCGGTGGGGACTGCTGCGGCGGCGGCACAACTCTGACACCGGGACCACAAGCTGCTCCTCGGCTACCACCGGCACACTCCACGCCAGCACCCCCAGAGGGAACACCCCCAGGGCCCGAAACCCCTCAAGGACCGGTACCACCCCCTGGGGTACCGAGACTAGCACGCACTCCAAAGCCAGCACCCCCAGAGTCAACGAACGGGTGCTGCAACGGCGACGGCGGCGGCAGCGACAACGACGGCTACGGCGGCGGCGGCAGAGGCGGTGGAGGAGGGGACGCCTGGGGAGGGGCAGCCGGCGAGGACTGCGCCGCAGGACCACCAGAGTCAGAAGACATCTCAACCGGGACCACCGACGGAAGAGGGGTGACGTGGGACACACCAGAGGGGGCAGGACGGGGAGGAGGAGGGGGGGGGACAGGGACTACCGGGGAAGGAGTGACCAGGAACAGGGGGGGGGGGTAACCGAGGGACCGTGGTGGGGGAAGCGACAGTAGAAGGAGACGGACTCGTCAAAGGTGACGTCGCGTGAGTGAAAGAAGCGGTGAGACGGGGGGTGGTAGAAGTGCCAGTCGGACGCGTCAAGGGGAAAACCGAGGAATACGCAGAGAAGGGTGGGGGCAGTGAGCTTGTCCGTGCCGAAGGCACGGACGTGAGCAAGGCAGCCCCAGACGTGGAACGCAGACGCGTCACCAGGAGACCCAATCCAAAGACGGGACGGCGAAACCTGCGGCTGCTGGGGGTGCGGCCACAGGTTAAGCTGGTGAGAAGCGTAGCGCACAGCGAACGGCCACAGAAAATGGGGTGCACCGGCATGGATCATGGAGGTGCGATCCACTTCCATGACCAAACCGATGCGTCGCTCAGCGACCCCATTCTGCTGTGTGGAGTCCGGTAGGGTGAACGTCTGGGTGATGCCCTCCGCATGACAAAAGCGACCAAGGACACCTGAGGCAAACTCGCCACCACGGTCGGAGTGAAGACGCAAGACAGGGAGACCTCGGTGGACACGGGCAGAGACAAGCCAGGGGATGAGAGCGTCAGGCACGTCGGCCTTCCACTCCAGGGGAAAGACCGAGGTGTAGCGAGTGAAGTCGTCGACAAGCACAAGGAAGTAGTGCTCTCGACGCAGTCCATGGACGGGGGCGGGGCCCCAGACGTCCATGTGCAGGGTCTGCAGCGGCGCGGCGGTAGGGGGAAACGCGGAGGAGTGAGGGGCACGGCGAAGCCGACCCTCGACGCAAGGCGTGCAAGGTGGGGCTGGGGAGGAGGGAAAAGCGGGGAGAGAACCAGGGAGACCTAGCACGAGACCGTGCTGGGACATGTGACGCAGACGCGGGAGCGCAGGGTTGTTAGGATTAAGGACAGAGTCTAGGTGAACTTAGGAGCTAGAATTACTCAAAATATAAATCCGAAATTCTGGACAGAAAAGTCGTCTTCACAAGAAACGACGTCGACAAAACACTAGCCGTTGGAATGTCGCGAAACTTGGATATGTTGTAGCTCTTGATCTCAGCTACCGTTCCCAATTTGAATCACGTTGATTGATGAAGTATTCGCGACGCTATGGCTTTCGACGCACTAGGGGGTAAGCTGTAGGAGGAGAACTTAACTCAATCTCAAGAGTTCAATCAAAGTTCAAGAATCTCACAAGGAATTAGAAGGAGCAAGAGAAAGGTTGGGATAGGAAGAGAGGGATGAGAGGGAAGGTCCCAAGAGAGTCCCCAACCAAGGAAACCCCATAAGCACAAAGATTCCCTCCCTATAGGAACCCCAACTTTGACATTTGTCCCTTCCCAACCAATCCATCCAAGTTGGCCACCCTTGCCAACCTAGCTTGGTTGTTCCCAACCAATTTGCAGCTGTTACAGTAGAGTGACAAGTTTCCCCAACCCCAAAGGTCCCAACTCCATATAAAGTCACCCCACAACTTCACTTAGTAACCGCCGCAATTGTAACGCAAGCTCATGAACTTTGAATCTTCATAGCTTTCGCGTTCTTGCTCCGATTGAAGCGATTCTTGTTGCGTCGGAAAGATCTTCTCAAGATCTATTATCACAAATACCTGCTCAGACAGAATAACACAAAACACATTCCCAAACTCCAGAACACACCACACACAAATGCTTGCACATTCAAACCACACATGCAAGTTGAAAAAACATGGGATGGGAGGCAGACAGAATGTGATAGCATATGATGACATCACACAACAATCTCCCCCTCTGGCTGCCAATGAACTCCCCACCATTGTCACTACGGATCACCTTCACCTTGTGTCCGCATTCCCTCTGAGCTCTCGGCATCCACTCTTTAAGGACAGCCGCTGCCACCTCCCCCTTGCTCTTCAAAGGGTAAACCCACACTGCCCGAGTGTGGTCATCCACAATTGTCAAGAAATAGCGGCTGCCTGAGAGGGAAGGGGCTCTTGTGGGCCCCACCACATCCATGTGCACAAGTGCAAGTGGGGTCTTGGATGGTCCAGTTGCACTGTTGAAGGGGAACTTGGAGAACTTGGTCTCCAAGCATGTAGGGCAGCTCCCAATCTCCTTCACTTCCCCTTTCACCTCCAAGCCCTTCAGGCTCCCATTCTTCACCAACTTCTGCAGCATAGGGAAGTTCACATGACACAACCTCTCATGCCATGTCTCCCAATCGGCCTCTCCACTCCTTGATGAAGCCTTAGCCCATGCCGCACTCGCATCCACACCAGCAAGCACCTCACCATGTGTCTGCTGCTTCTGCACTTTCTTGACTGCTTCCAGCACCCCATCAGTTGGTGCAGTTGCATCTCCTCCTGCTGTTGCCTTTGCCACTGCTGCCGTTGCTGCTGTTGGAGTCTTCCCATTCCAAGGGATGATGGGCAGCTGCCACAGGTCCTTGATGCAGCTGGTCTCCTCTTCCAGACTCCACAGCACCTTCTTCCCAAGCTTAGCACGGCAGCTGGTTGGTCCAAAGGTCACTTCGGCCTTACTCTTCTGCAGCCGCCGCACAGAGAGAAGGTTAGCAGACAAGCCTTTAACCAGCAGAACATTCCCAAGCCCCACAAGCTCCCCATTAGCTCCCTTAACCTTGGCATTCCCAACACCAATCACGGGGAGCAAAGCACCTGACGCTGCTGCCACATACTTAATCTTCCCAGGGGGTTTTACCTCATCAAGCAAATCTGCCCGTGGGGTCATGTGACTGGTGCAACCCGAATCAATCACCCAGTGCGTGAGAGGGTGCATCACAACCTTTCCCACAAATCCCACATCACCCTCATGCCCATGCACATCCTCAACCATAAGAAACAAACCAGGATAGGCATTACCTTGTGCACCTTCACCTTGTGCACCTGAGCCTTGCACAGCGCCACCTTGTGCGCGTTCACCACTGGGTGGCTTCATGCCTGGAGGTGCCCATCCCTCCGGCCTGCTGAAGCACTTGAACCAAGGATGCCCTATCTTCTTGCAGTACCAGCAGGTGCCCTCCATTCTGGTACTCCCCCTGCCACTAGAGCTCCCATGCCCCTCATTATAGTCACCTCGGCCTCTACCTCTGCCAAAGCTCCTCCCACGGCCTCGGCCTCTCCAACCCCCTCTTCCTCTGCCGCGCCCTGCAGCTCCATACCCCTCAGCAGTCTTAGTGGCAGCACCGCCTCCCACATGGCGTCTGCGGAAGTCCTCCTGCAGAATCTGCTGCCTTAGCCACTCAGGTGTCCATTGATCTTGTTGAGAGTTGAGGGTGGGGATGAGGTTGTCCCAAGAGTTGTCCAACACCGAGATGATCTTGGTGCACTGCTGCAGCTGAGATACACTGCTGCCCGCTGCTGCCATCCTTGCATAGGTGTCCTTGATCTTGTCAAGGACCGGCTTCACATCGTCCCCTGGTTGCATGGAGATGGCAGCAAGTTCCTTCTCGAGCACGATCACCATCAGGAGAGTGTTGGGCTGAACCACATCACGTAGTAGTTTCCACGCCCTTGGACCCGAATCATCCGCTTCCACAAGATCCTTGATGTGCTCGAACATCTCCTTGTTGACCGATTGAAGAATGAGGTCGAAAAGCACCGCGCTTTTCTCAATCCACCGTTCACGTGCTTCGCCTTCTTCCGGCATCTTCTCTTCCCCAACAGCAATCTTCAGTAGCTTGTAGCGTTTGAAGGCACTCCTCATCCGTCCGCTCCATTCCTCATAGTTGGAGCCATCCAAAGCTTCAACTTTTGATGGCGGCGGCTCACTTGTCTTCTCAGCTACAGCTCCTCTTCCATTAGCATCTCCTCCTCTCTCATTCATCTTCTCCTTGAGAAATGACGAATTTCAGCCCCCCTTTGCTGTCCACACTCAGCTCCCTCGATATTTTCACAAGTGTCGGCGTCCACGAAATTTCGGCAGAGTTTCCCTTAGCGGAAGACACATCCAACCTTTAGAACACCACTTAGGCACACCCACAGGCCATGGTGGGTCTAGAAGGGTCTTCACACTTCTGTAGACTCCTCTCAACGTCCTTAATACAGCTCTGATACCACTTGTTAGGATTAAGGACAGAGTCTAGGTGAACTTAGGAGCTAGAATTACTCAAAATATAAATCCGAAATTCTGGACAGAAAAGTCGTCTTCACAAGAAACGACGTCGACAAAACACTAGCCGTTGGAATGTCGCGAAACTTGGATATGTTGTAGCTCTTGATCTCAGCTACCGTTCCCAATTTGAATCACGTTGATTGATGAAGTATTCGCGACGCTATGGCTTTCGACGCACTAGGGGGTAAGCTGTAGGAGGAGAACTTAACTCAATCTCAAGAGTTCAATCAAAGTTCAAGAATCTCACAAGGAATTAGAAGGAGCAAGAGAAAGGTTGGGATAGGAAGAGAGGGATGAGAGGGAAGGTCCCAAGAGAGTCCCCAACCAAGGAAACCCCATAAGCACAAAGATTCCCTCCCTATAGGAACCCCAACTTTGACATTTGTCCCTTCCCAACCAATCCATCCAAGTTGGCCACCCTTGCCAACCTAGCTTGGTTGTTCCCAACCAATTTGCAGCTGTTACAGTAGAGTGACAAGTTTCCCCAACCCCAAAGGTCCCAACTCCATATAAAGTCACCCCACAACTTCACTTAGTAACCGCCGCAATTGTAACGCAAGCTCATGAACTTTGAATCTTCATAGCTTTCGCGTTCTTGCTCCGATTGAAGCGATTCTTGTTGCGTCGGAAAGATCTTCTCAAGATCTATTATCACAAATACCTGCTCAGACAGAATAACACAAAACACATTCCCAAACTCCAGAACACACCACACACAAATGCTTGCACATTCAAACCACACATGCAAGTTGAAAAAACATGGGATGGGAGGCAGACAGAATGTGATAGCATATGATGACATCACACAACAAGGGTGACCTTGGCGATAGTGCCAAAGGAGAGTCGGGTGAGTGAGGGACCGACAGGAGCAGGCAGCAGCAACCTGGGTAGACGCAGCCACCTGAAGGGGCGCCCCAGCCGGGGGGGTCACGGTGTCCAGAGTGAACAGGCCAGACACCGGGTCCCGGGGGAACGTGGACAGGGGGGCACCAGTGGCGGCCTCGGTACAGACAGCATACCGCTCGTGACCAGGGAACGTAGTGGTGTCGCCAAGGTCCTGGAGGCAGCCGACACCAACTAGGTTCCTGGAGAACGAGGGGATATGCACCAACCTGTGAGAGAGCTCGAAGGAACCGCCAGACAGGGAAGGGTGGTGAAACTGCGGGCGACTACCGGACTGCCGGAGGGGTCAGCACGAGAAACGGCAGCAGGAACAGGAAGCGGTGTCAGTGTAGTAGCGTCGCGGAAGAAGCACCGGGAAGCGCCAGAGTCCAAGGTGAATGAAAGCAAAGCAGTGGCGTCCGGAGACGGGGCGACGGCGGAAGCACCAAGGCTAAACAAAGCAGGGGATCCTATGCCTGACGCAGCAGTGGAGGCTAAGCTAGGCACACCTACACTAGACGAGAATGAGAAATAAGCGGGAAGCGCACTAGAGTCATCAGCATACATCACATGCAGAGCAGAAACAATGGCATCCATGTCCATGTCAAAAATATGAATCCTACGACTAAGCAAACTATGCCAGTCTGGGAGGTCTGGCGACGGGCCAAAGTGCTGACGAAACAGGTCGTCCAGGCGACGGAAACTGCGGGGAGTGGTATGACCGAGCTTACCGCAAACGAAGCCGCGGCGAGGACCGGTCTGGATCTGGTACTGACAACGCATGCCTCCCGAAGCACCACTCGGCACACCACCACGCGCCCGACCACCTCCAGCGCCAGGCCACCCAGGCGGGAGGACACTCGCCTGCCTCGTCTACGGCGGCTGCTGCGGCTGCTGCGGAGGCTGCGGCTGCTGCGACTGCTGCGGCTGCTGCAGCTGCTGCTGCTGCTGCTGCGACTGCAGAGGCGGCGACTCAGCTGGACCGGGCAGGGTCCCCTCGTCCGCTCCAGCACCAGACGACCCGACTCCACCACCACCCCCTCCTGCACCCCCGCCTCCTCCGCCGCGCCCAGCCTTGGGGCGGCGGCCCTTTCCCGAACGAAACTGCGCTGCAGCAGTAGTCTCAGCCACAGCGACAGAACCGTCGGAGAAGGTACACTAAGTGGGGGCACAACCGTGAAAGATAGGGACCGGCACGGTACCGCTCGCCTAGGCGATGGAGCTGTGGCGGGTCTCAATAACAGTCAGGGTGTCTACAAAGTCGGTGAGGGTGAGCTCACCGGGGTGAATGCTAAGGAAGCTGTCGCGGGCGGCGGCAAGGCGGTCAGGGAGGCGGGTGGCAAGCAGGTAGAGGGTAGAGGTAATGGGCGGCTGGTGGGCTCTAAGCTGTGCGTCAGTGCAGGCAGCGCGCCTGGTCTCATCTATCGAGCGCAGGTGGGCAGCTAGTTCAGAGACAATGGGGAAAGACGCAAGGTCGAGAAAGAGCATCGGGAGGATCAGGCGACCCACCGAGGTAGCAGGAGGGGTGGAATAGCGCTTGATGACAGCATCTAAGTAAGCCTGGGCGATAGTGATGGACCTAAAGCGAGGGCGCTCAGACGGGGGAAGGGCATTGCTAATGGCAAGCTGAGCGACAGCGTCTTGGGAAAGCCAGACAGAGCGCGCAAGGGCAGCGGCTGCAGTAGACTCGCGCTCAGCGGGTGTGGTGTGAGAGTACGACCCCGTTACACCACTTGGCCTTTTCTTATTTCCTTCCCTTTTCATTTCTCTTTTTACCGCATCTCATTTGGTTTCCTATTCTTCCTTTCCCATTAACCTTTGGTTTATCCTGCTATTATAATTATATCACCGACCAGGCTTGGGATGTATTGGTGCGCTATATCTAGCGTAATCCTGCCGTAATCCCTTCAAGCCAATAGCCTCGCGTGGCTATACGCAGGGTGATTCTATCTTCTAGAAGGGTCTATTCCCTTAGGATAAGATAAACCTGGTTACCTGATGTACTCTGGAAGTATAAAAGCGCCTTGTACTGATCGATAGTGCAACCTTTCCTCGACACATTCGATCCTGTGACACTTGGTAATCAGAGCTTTTCTCACTCGGCCGCGCTCAACAAAGCAGCAGCAGCGGGAAAACCTGCCTCGAAAAACCGCCGGGGGCGACCAATTCGACGCCGATTCTGGTAAGCACCAGCTCCGCGATTTTCGAATTACCCCCTCCGTGCATGTTTTGAACAGGATGGCAACCTTCGACAACGCCGAGGTTACCCAGCAGCTCTTCGCGCGCATCGTAGCCCTTCAGGAGGAAATGCGAGCGGATCGCGAAGCGTGGCGAAACCAGTTCGAGCGAGTAACTCGACTCGCCGGAGCGCAGCACGAGACGACAACGGCAACGACGCAGCAGTCGCAGCAGTTTCTCGAGGCTCCGAAACCGCGCCCACCTGAGCCGTTCGATCCGAGCGATCGAAACTCCGACGCCCGCAGATGGATCGCCGGGATGGAGATCTACTTCGCAGCCGTCAGATGGAGCTCGCCAGTCTGGGACGGTCAACGTGTACGACTCGCGGCGACACTGATGCGAGGGCCGGCACTCGAGTGGATTGGCGGCAACAATACTTTCATCCACTGTGAAGCCACGTGGCAGCAGTTCCGCGCCGACCTGCTGAAACGCTTCGAACCGATAAATTCGAGTTTCCTTGCCCGCGAAAAAATTCATCGACACCGACAGTTCGGGAGTGTAGCGCAGTACACGCAGCAGATGGAAGAATTTTATAACCGCATTCCCGACCTGACCGAAGGGGAAAAAGTACAATCGTACCTCGCCGGGCTGAAGACCGAAGTCAAACGACAAGTCGCAGCGTCAAACTACGCGAGCTACAGTGACGTCGTTTCGGCAGCGGAGCACTTCGACATGGTCAACGCCGGAGCACGACGGACGCACGTCGGCAGTACGCGACAAGGCGACCGCTCGGCTCACCCCACGTTCGCCGACCCGATGGAAGTCGACAGATTCGAGGGGCGGCCACGTCCGAAAAACACCAACTACACGTGTGATTTTTGCGGGGTGCCGGGCCACCGAATCTTCGACTGCAACAAAATGAAGGCCGCACGCGCAGAGTATCGGGCACGCAACAGTGGCGGAAATCTTTCGGCCAATCAGAAGACAAAAAACGGGTGTCGCCAGTGATTGCGGATCTAGCTGGCAAAAAAGAAAAGATCCGGAAACGGCCGCGGGATTCCGGGAAAATCAACTTCGACGAAGCTGATTCGATGCGAGAAGGAGGAAATGATGGGGGAAAATCTCCACCCCACGACCAGTCTTCGCCAGGGAAAATCGCCGAGGAAAAATACGACTCCGCGAAAAAAGACTCTGCCGAGACAGGGAAACTCCTTGAAGACCCAAGAAATTATAAGAATTCGTTAAAGTTATCTTATAAAGATGCTTTAATGAAAACTTATGATGTTCGAGGGGCTAGAACCTTGGAGAAATTTCGGGAGGGACTCCAAAAGAAGCAGACAGCTGTGGAGATTATACCGGTACCGGACAACCTGGGGACCAAATTAAGGAGTGTGGAAAGAAGCCG